CTACTTTTGTTACATAAAATGAATATATATAGATATATTTTACTGAATCATTTAGAACAGGATCGTCGATATTTGTTTGTCTATGGTCATTTTTATGAAAAAAAGTATTTGTATTTGACTAATGGACTATTGACAGCATGGGTTTGTTGCTGGTTGGTTCGTAACTTTAAACTGTCGTATCAAGTTTTAGTAGCCACAGTCCTGGTATACCAGTAGCATTGCTAATTTCGAAGTGTAATTCTGTAACAAATTGTGAATCTATGTATGTGAATTTGCTGTTATTGCTTATGTTGTACTCACATTTCTTAAAAATATAACTATATTTTACTTTACTATAACATCTTTTTTTGCCCAATATAACTTCACATCAAAAGCCACAATTTGCTTGTTGCATTGCTCATTGCTTACATTACGAATACAATGCTTATTTGTTCACCAAAGTGATCTTCTCTGTTTTGCTGGGGCTCAGTGAGGTACACTCTTGCTCGCTAACCTGAAGGTCCAGGATTCAATCAACCTGTCTGACATGGAAGAAGCGTCTAGTCGTTCGGATGGACAATAAAATATGTGCTACAGGCTGTGCACTTTAAAGACCCCTCTACAGTTGGAAATCGAAAAAAGGAGCAGGCTAATGCCGCTGTCCTTGCAAAATTTCGCTCATTGCACCCTGCATGGCGTTGTCCGTTTTCATTAGGCCACTTGGTGCAGAAAAGTAGGACGTAAAACTCTGCTTTGCTTATAATTAAACCCGTGTCGATTAATATTTGTAATCTTTCAATGTTTTGCAACTCAAGTTGGTATTAAAAGCAAATTGGCAATACACACTTTCTCGCAATTGACAATCTTTTGGAGAACTTGATATTCCATGAAATGGTCGATTGGCGTTGGCATAAAATATATTAGTCGTTATAAGCCTCCTAGTGGTTACAAGCATCATATCCTATAAAATTTGGGTTCAAAGGCCCTCTCCCAGGCTGTAATTACATTAAATTGAAGTCAGTTGACATATTCAACTTTATGGCACCGTATGGAGTATAGATTTACTACTAATCTATACTCTTTGGTACCGGTACTTTGTCTTGAATGTATCTTTAGTTGTGGTCTTTATTATTTTACCAGAACAGAAAATAAATCAGTTCTTTCCCTTACATCTTTAGAATCCATGATCACGTCATAAACAACGTATTCTTTTTTAACGTTGCTTTGATGTCCTTGTGTGAACTGGTCATCTTAAAGAAAATAAAATTCGTTATTGGATCTCGGTCATAGGGTTTCATTTTACCTTGGAGCACTGTGGCCCACTGGCCCAAATTATTCGATTCTATTAGTCGTTTGGACATATCTATTTATTGCACCAGCCGCGTTCAGAAGGGGGCAGGAAAATAATACATAAAAATCATTTAAAAAGAAATAATGACAATAAAAGCGGTATCACAATGGTGAAATAGAAGTTTATTTGTATAGGACTGTGGAGCTATATTACCGTCACCAATGGTCTGTCTACAGTTATTTGTAAATACAGTATTTACACCACATGTACGAAACTTGGGAAAATGTTCAGTAGTCGCGCAAAGATGGACCCTGACCACTAAAACGTTTTATGCTAAAGATTACATACGAATTTAGTCCGTGCTATTTTTAGAAAACCTTTCTGCCTCTTTTGGATTTTTTGCATGCCCTTTTTTGACTTAATTTTGGTTTAGATTTGGAAATTGATGTCTGAAATTGCATTTTCTGACAGATTTTGTGTGGTAACAAAAAATTTATAGACAAGGGGATAATTCTAAAAAAAAATATTGTTTTGTGAGCAGTCAACTGGATCTTGATATCCCGGTAGTGGTTAACTTTCTTTTTGACTAGTTCAAGATTTTCATGGTCATGATATATTGAATATTGGCCAGGTTGTCTGGAAAATCAAAGTTAAAGAAGGGTGTGTTCGGTGTTTTAACATGGAAACAGATGGCAAATGAATTAGTGGTCCATGTTGATATAAATTTTTAAATATTTGACAGGAGTTATTTCCCTTGATGTTTGAATCGTATTTTATTTTAGTTCTTAGCGAAACTTGGTTATTATCAGACACCTAATAGGAACTCCCATCGAAAATGAATAAATATTTGATATTTGTATTATACCGTAAACATGTCGTGCTCTTGCTGTTCTGTCCATTTAAATACAGTTGCAAATAAGCATAAGTTAACTTGACTAGCAAAAGAATTTTTCTACTTCTGGTACAATATATATTTATTTATAAATAATATTGTGTGAAGAAAATCGTAATAAATGCGATATAGTTACGAAACGTGATATTTAATGTGGTATTTTTTATGTAATATTGTATGTTTTCAATCGCATTCAATTATGGGTTTTATCATAAAAGGTACTTAACAACATAATTAAAGAGTTTCAAGACGTAAGATCGATTTTGGTTTTAATTATGTAGCATATGTTCCTAACAGTATTTATCAGTAATTATTACATGATTACATGTCAAATAGCAATATTTCACAGAAAATACATTCATCAAAGATATACAACTGTGGTTAGTTAAAGCGATTTGGTAGTGTTACATAATGATGATACATATTTATGGTGAGGCTTTCTGCTCACTGCCAGAAAATAAGTCGCCACATTTGTATCCCTATCGTTAGCTTATAGCGTGTGTACAGTACGTAGGTCGTCCAGGGTGGTAGAGATAGCATGGAATAAAGGCTCAATGAGTTTAAAATGTTGCGAAACTTTGAATATGAAAAAGGTTGTAGGTCGGATATGACATTTAACTGAGGCTTAAGGTACGTAAAAAATCTTCCAAGAAGAAGAATCTTTGCAAAAGTTCACTCAGTGCACACGTCATTGCGGTAGTCATTGTCTGAGTCAGTCAAGTAGTTCGTCGAACTCACATTTCATTTATTCAGAACTGATTAAAACATTGTTGTCGAAGTTAAGCAAGAAATGTATGCTTTCCGACGATTAGAAGGAAGAAAAAGCAAGTAAAATAATTATCAGTAAGCCGATTTCATGACTGTAGCGCGGTATGCAGGCAACCGCATGATAGTTTCGGATATATGAAAATTGTGTGGGATTTTATGCTTCCTTTATGATTGACATTAGCCATCATAATCATTATCTGGTTATCATCGTTCGCTTGATATGAAAGGACATGTCAATTATGTTGCATTATATTTTTTTCGGTGTCAATTTACTACTGAAATCTGGTATTTACATCAAAATTACGTGTTGTCATAATTTGTTCAGGTTAAGTTCATAATATTAAAACTACGTTATTAACATGACAAATCTTGTTTTTACTCATCGATCTATGGTTTCACCAATCTGTGTTATAATTACATAGTTTGCTACAGATAGTCTTCTGGTTTATATATTCGATTAAGTGTTTTTGGTTCCAGGCGAAAATTGATAAAGAGACGGCTAATGCCACTGTCCATCATTGCATACGTCATAACATTCACTTTTAATTCCAGTTCGAATTAATCTTCTATTTATAGTCCATCAAAATCACAAGAATTAGCAGGACCTTGCAGAGAAGGATCCTTATAACCGAAGCAGTTATCATGTATAATGGTTTCTAAGGGCGTTGCTCTTTTATATATAAAGAATACAACAACAACAAATTTTATTATACAAAATAATCTGTACATAATACATCATGGTTAATATTAATCTTTTTACATCCGAATTTACTTTTCCTTCTAGTCTTTGAATATTTTTGTCTTCATCAATTATTAGGAAAGTTATGTGATATTATTTTTGTTTTTCTTCCAAAATTTTAACCATCACAATAAAAGTAGAATTTTTGTAGAGTCTGCTCTTTATTTCAGTTTTTTTATGAACTGCCATGTTTTAAATTGGTCCTATTTCGAGAATGATTCATAAATAGTGTACACATAATCAATATCACTAACAAAAACTATTGCGTCACATACAAACTGTACACATCTAGGTACAAAATCAATGAAAAAATCGTGTAGATTCATTTAGTTTAATTCTGAATAACCTTAGTTAACCTTTTGTGTATACGCAATCGTTCGGGTTGACGCATTAGTTCAAATTTACCATATGTACAAAGCGTGAACTTGACCTATAGGTGACGTTAACGTTAGCTGTTATAATATACAATCCATTATATATTTTTCTGTACCACAGTTACAATTCATGATACACAATCCGTTTTACAGTCTCTGTTGAAACTCAATCATTTAAACACCGTCTGTTGTCCTACAAACAATTATACACCATCTCATGTACCACAATCTGTCATACACAATCACGATACAATCCATATACACATCTGTTTTACCACAATGGTACCACATTCATAGTACACTACATTATACACAATCTGTTTTACCAAGATCTATTAGACACAATCATTGTACAACCAATTAAGCCCAATCTGATGTACTACGATACATTATACACAGTCTGCTTTACCACATTCATGGTTCAATACATTATACACAATCTGATGCATCACATTATTATACATTATCTGCCTTACCACGATCACACCCCGTCTTCATTAGCCCACATGGTGCAGAAAAGTAGGGCGTAAAACTCCATTCATTTCATTTCATTTACCACGATCACGATACAATCCATTTACACATCTGCTGTTCCACAACTATTATACACAATCTGATGTACTACGATCGTGTTTTACCTAGGTCCTGATACAATTCATTATATCTGTTTTACCACTAACAAACCATTATACAACCGTGAGCATGATTTATATACCTTATTCGTTAAATTACCACACAGCGACATCACAATTGTACAATGATAGGAAATATCCAATACACATATATTCATGAATAAGGAAAGAAGACGGACGGACTTAGGAAACCAATGAGAAAGACAAGCACCATTCACGTCCTTCTGTAACACAATATTTTTAAATCTATATTTTGTACATTGTTTTCTAGAGGCACTCTTTTGAAGTTAAAATTATAACTGTACAATGTTGATGAATGATATGGTCACATTTCAGTCGTCACATCCTCCATGTGGATTGTGGGTAAAACTGGTGCCGTGTGCATTCGCTGCAAACGGTGCTTTTCGCGGGCTACCATAGTCAGTGATAACTTCCGACTGTATGTTTTGTATATAACGCTATCCTGAGCTCTCTTCACTACTTTGATAGTGTCCAAATTTTTCGGGTTGTGTTTAAAGCGTGGCTCCATTGGTTGAAGAATTCGGATGGAGTCCCACCGTCGCCAGAATACAACCACCGTCACAAACCAGAATATAACAATTAACGATATTATTATTACTTCCTCTATGTGGAGGGTATGCTTAATTGGAACGTACGCTCGATCATCTGCAAATAGAAAACAAACATTACTTGAATAGACAATCAATATGCAATTAGCTTGAAATAAGAGTACTTAACCCATCTTTAGAATGTTATGCCCTATTTATTATTCTTTCATTAATGGCATGACAACCGAATTTTACTGTATGCGGAAGTTTGATTTATGTTTACTATCAATATGAATGGAAATAACTTGGATGTCTGAGTGTACAAGTTGAGTTATAACTTAGAATTTTCCATTTGATATTTTGTATTATACACGATCTACATTATTATACGGTTCAGTCTATCGCGTCAGGCACAGGTCGAGTTATACCTTCGATTTTTCATTTGATATTTTGTATTAAACACTAGGTATATCATTATACGATTCAGTCTATCGTGTGTTAAATTGGTAATATAATTAGTCGAATTATACAACGAGCACAGATGCCCCAGACAAGGACATGGCAATTGGAATACATTTATAATGAAAAGTATACATCACGTTCAGCTAACTAAATCACGGCGATAGACATTTTCTGATTATATTGTACGCGGTGATTGGCAATCTATATTTATTTTCGATAGGACTTAACCATTTCTGGTGTATGAAATTCAGACTTGACGATTTGATTTGTAATAGTATAAGTATCTTCAATTTTAATACAATATCTCAGAGCAAGGTGAGACTGGAAGATGCTCAAAGATTCGATTCACTTTATGATTGGCTGTGGGCCGAGTCTGTGACTTTATAAGCGAGCATGTGATTGGCTCTGGATCGAACCTGTGACTTTGTAAGCGAGCAGGTGCTTGGTTCTGGATCGAACTTGGGACTTTGTAAGCGAACAAGTGCTTGGCTCGAGATCGAGCCTGTGACTTTATAAGCGAGCATGTGATTGGCTCTGGATCGAACCTGTGACTTTGTAAGCGAGCAGGTGCTTGGTTCTGGATCGAACTTGGGACTTTGTAAGCGAACAAGTGCTTGGCTCGAGATCGAGCCTGTGACTTTATAAGCGAGCATGTGATTGGCTCTGGATCGAACCTGTGACTTTGTAAGCGAGCAGGTGCTTGGTTCTGGATCGAACTTGGGACTTTGTAAGCGAACAAGTGCTTGGCTCGAGATCGAGCCTGTGACTTTATAAGCGAGCATGTGATTGGCTCTGGATCGAACCTGTGACTTTGTAAGCGAGCAGGTGCTTGGTTCTGGATCGAACTTGGGACTTTGTAAGCGAACAAGTGCTTGGCTCGAGATCGAGCCTGTGACTTTATAAGCGAGCATGTGATTTGCTCTGTATCGAACCTGTGACTTTGTAAGCGAGCAGGTGCTTGGCTCTGGATCTGTTGGTGCCATATGTTGGACCAGATCACTAGATACCAGAAATAGCCCTATATTCAAACAAGAGCTTCTCAACAAACCACACAAATGGTCTACTAAGGGTAACATAGTTACGGATAAAATCAATTGACATAATAAAATATAGCTGCAATGTAAACAATACCATATTGTCTATGAAAGAACTTCAATGTAATGTGCAGACCTTATCAAACGAGAATAATATAAGTGCTAACTGTTGTAGGTTACTTCAAGTCGTAACGAACACTGACACCCAAAGTCAATAATTTCCTGTACATCGAATAATAATAAGCAATAACATGCATACAAACTTGTATATCTCTACAATTAGTAGAATGACATACTTCCAAGCGATATGGTGCACAATTATGTGTCTTACAAGATACTCAAACGAAGTCCGTGGCATAGGTAACTTTTTTGGCCTTCCAGTGAAGTTGATTTTACAACCGGTTACCGAGTTACCGGCCTTGACAAAGTATTGACTCTGGTTAGCATAAAGTAGTGTCACAATGAATCTATTATACTTGGCTTGGAAACCGTCTTTACTCTGTACATTCTTATCAACATTGTAATCTCTTAATACCATCAGTACAAAACTTTCATTATTCATCTGAATAAATTGTTAAAATTAAAATGTCAAGCTTGTTGTTTGTAAATGTAAGTCTTTCAAACAAGGGCCTTGTTCGCAGGTTTTTCTTGTTTACATTGTTTTTAACTGAGTTTAAACATTTGTTCAGTTTTTTTTAATTACTTGAGACTGTATTGTTATGTTTCTATAAAATATACACGCGGCAGAACATGCAGCTTTCTCCCCGTTCTTATAACTAACTCAATTCTTAGCTAGTTTTTTTCTAGATTGTACTGTCATTGACAGCTGGGGCGAAAGAAATCATAATTGGGTTTAACTGGAAAACACGGACAATTTCAAATACTTCCCTTAGCCGCAGATGTGTCAGCAATCGACAAATTTTAATAAATTTCAAGGCTTAACTCAAGATGAGAAACAGGAAAAATATTTCATAAAGAACGCTTGAGCAGGTGGTTATGTCGTTTTTACTTCCTATCAAAAAAGGTTATGCTCATAATTATATTTCGCTCATTTGAATTGTGCATTATCATACACCTACAGATAATCATAACTCAATTTGCTTTAAACCATTACCTCTTTAGTGGTAACTATGTTTGTTACAATAGCAGATTTCGTTAGGCATATAGTTAGTGGTAACTATGTTTGTCACAATAGCAGATTTCGTTAGACATATAGTTAGTGGTAACTATGTTTGTCACAATAGCAGATTTCGTTAGACATATAGTTAGTGGTAACTATGTTTGTTACAATAGCAGATTTCGTTAGGCATATAGTTAGTGGTAACTATGTTTGTCACAATAGCAGATTTCGTTAGGCATATAGTTAGTGGTAACTATGTTTGTTACAATAGCAGATTTCGTTAGACATATAGTTAGTGGTAACTATGTTACAATAGCAGATTTTGTTAGACATATAGTTAGTGGTAACTATGTTTGTTACAATAGCAGATTTCGTTAGACATATAGTTAGTGGTAACTATGTTTGTTACAATAGCAGATTTCGTTAGGCATATAGTTAGTGGTAACTATGTTTGTCACAATAGCAGATTTCGTTAGGCATATAGTTAGTGGTAACTATGTTACAATAGCAGATTTCGTTAGGCATATAGTCAGTGGTAACTATGTTTGTCACAATAGCAGATTTCGTTAGGCATATAGTTAGTGGTAACTATGTTACAATAGCAGATTTCGTTAGGCATATAGTTAGTGGTAACTATGTTTGTCACAATAGCAGATTTCGTTAGGCAATTAGTTAGTGGTAACTATGTTTGTTACAATAGCAGATTTCGTTAGGCATATAGTTAGTGGTAACTATGTTACAATAGCAGATTTCGTTAGGCATATAGTTAGTGGTAACTATGTTTGTTACAATAGCAGATTTCGTTAGGCATATAGTTAGTGGTAACTATGTTTGTCACAATAGCAGATTTCGTTAGGCAATTAGTTAGTGGTAACTATGTTACAATAGCAGATTTCGTTAGGCATATAGTTAGTGGTAACTATGTTTGTTACAATAGCAGATTTCGTTAGGCAATTAGTTAGTGGTAACTATGTTACAATAGCAGATTTCGTTAGGCATATAGTTAGTGGTAACTATGTTTGTCACAATAGCAGATTTCGTTAGGCAATTAGTTAGTGGTAACTATGTTTGTTACAATAGCAGATTTCGTTAGGCATATAGTTAGTGGTAACTATGTTTGTTACAATAGCAGATTTCGTTAGGCATATAGTTAGTAGTTACTATGTTTGTTACAATAGCAGATTTCGTTAGACAGATATTTAATCGACCCATTAACGAATCCCTCATTGACATCCATTTAATGAAGTTCAACTTAATATCTAAGAAATAAAGAAATACAATTTTTTAATTGTCATCTGAAAAAAATCAATAAACGCATTACCAAAGTTCTGTTTACTTTAATATAAAACCAATTATATACAGAAGCCTTGATTTGACCTTTAATTAACAAAGCAAAAAAAAATCTTTTTTAATATTAAATTGTGTTAAGAGCCAACAAAAATATTCCATTATGTAGGTTAAAAGCCCTTCGGCAAATGCTAGAAAGCCAGAGTTCCCAAACTCTTTAGACTCGGAAGAGTATTTTTCGACTTCTCTGTAGCAGCCTTGCCCACATTAAGGGTTAATATCATTATTGAAAATGTTCAAGGTACTTTGCAAGTACATCCTGTGGTGTTTAGTGGAACATGTAGCTGGTACCATTTACCCCTTTTTTGGAAAAGGGGACGATAAAACATTTTGAGAAGAAGGACGTATGAATTCAATACTCCAGTTCCTCGAAAAGCAATCTGTATTTCATTTTCTTTCATTTGACTGTTTTTATTAGTTAATCAGTTGATATTAACTTATTTACCGCTCAACGACACCTACAGACGCACTTTATATATATATATTTGTAACCCCCCCCCCCCCCCATACTGTCTCCCCCCATACTGTCTCTTTTTAACTCGATCTCTATTATAACATTGTTATAACAACAACAACAAATCCTGTCGATGTCTTTGATGTATTTCATCATATCTATATTTAGTTCAGCAGGTGTTCAATATGCATGCTTAGTAACATGTAAGGTTGTAGACAGGGGGCGGGGGCAGGGGGGTTGGTGTGGCAACTCGGAGTAAGTCAAATATAGTCAGATTGGTCTGTATGGGAGAGGAGTTAGGAGGGAAAAAAGGAAAATGGCAGTGCGTGCGCTGTATCTAATCATTTGGGTTTCTTGGTTGGTTCTGGGGTTTTCGGTTCTCTCTGTTGTTGATTCATTCTAATCTCTGTTTAAGTATGGAGTCAGGAGGCCACCAAAGCTGGCTCGCTCACATATTGCTCACGCCAATTAAGGAAAATAATGTTACATACCAGACACACGTTAATTATATCGTATTTTGATTGAATGAATGTTGCGGACCTCATCTCCAACGCTGAAGGTCGTTTAGTATGTTAAGTCAGAGAATGGAAATTATAAGCATGAAGCATGCTGTTTCTTGTTTTTACCAAATCTTAATGATTGCAATTATCGAACAACAAATTGAAATGGAACATCTTAGGGAATATTTAATACATAGGTTTTGTTCATCGTTTGGGAAGGAAATATGCCTTTTTAAGCTCCTAATGTTTGAAAATTGTCAAGTGACACATGTGACCTGTAAATATACTCGACAATTGAAAATTGAATGCCGACCGCCTAACGTTGTCCTCCTGATCCAACCAATAAAACCAAAAAAAGTAGATGTAAATTTCTAATATTTACAAAAGCATATCGGGTTGAATTCCAGACTTCACAGTATGTATAGAGAAAGCAATGTTAAACATGTTACAGATATAACCACACATGACATAAAAAAAATTATAAATTTTATGTGTGCATTAAACTCATAACCTGGTTGAATATCCGCCAAATTCTTTATTGCTTTACTCGTGATGTATAGTTTAAAGATATATTATTCTAATATTTGGCTTTACATCAGAATTTAGTGATAAAATGTGAGAAAAGTTAATTGTGTTCGAGAAACCTTGCTCCCACAAAGACTGACTTGCAGGATATTTGAATTTTAAAAAGGTTCTCTTAATTTACAAACGTTAGCTGTATTTCTTGGTAAAGTACATGTGAAAGTCGAAATATCGTTAGGGTAAAACGGCATGTACGTCTATACCAATCATATTAACATTTCCGCGCAAAATATTCTAATAAATTCAGAATATGACAGTGAGTGGAAAAGTTATTTTGCTTAGTGACTCTGGTACAGATCTCGATAGTTCTATAACAGCCTCCTGGTCTTGCTTCATCCTCGCAATTCGACCCGACCAGATCTAACGAAAAATCAACAACCAAACCAACAACACCGAATCATCCAATTTGATCCAATCCAACTACCAACTACACTACCTAGTTTGCGATATCAGCATCCGCTGGAAGCGAACGTTAACTTGTCATCTACCTACCTACCATCATCCTCGTACAATTGCCCAGAGGGTGACCTTTTAGTGTGAGTCAGGAAAATATTCAGTGGACCTCCCGCGTTTGTTTACCTTGTAAAATTTACGCTTGAATATTCCTCCTTAAAATACAAATTAGTATTTACAATTTCAGAACGGTAAGAGGAAATGGCAATTAAGATTTTAAAAGCCCTTTCAAGATACTTGATAGCTATAATAAGAATCTCTAATTAATGATGCTATAATAAAATATGCCATAAGAAAGCACATGCGTTCGTCTCTCGACAAAAATAACTTTTTGATAAACATAAACAATTTTCAGCCACAGGCTTTCCATGTATACCTTTCTGACCTTTCGGAAAGAGAACCAGATCATATCTCATGGACATCTCAGAATATTGGTAGAAAGTGACGTCATAAGTGGAATCATGGTTTATTCGAACTGATATCATTGACGTTTGCAGTAATAAATTTCATATGCGAAGTCTGAATATATTTTTTTATTTCCGATGACGGAATATTGTCCTGCAGCAATTTTTCTCCATTTCTGACGTCAGTTACGAATGTCTATTTTAGTCTATTTCTGACACATGATCAGCAATGCACATAAATATCTGCCAAAAAAAAACAGATTTGACCATCCGGCTATTTTCAAAGGCATCATGAAATTTGCAAGTAATCCATATGAATTCGTGTAAAAATGCTCGCTCTTCTTAGTCATGCACTTTACGTCATTTTTTTGGAGACTAATTCAATTTTCAACCGTCAGTATTTTTGTGATGAACCGTATGTATCACACGTGACCTACCTCTTTAGTCACATCTAAGTACCATTTTCATCTCTGCAGCTCATGTTTATTTTATGTATTCCACGGATTGAATATGCAATTTTAATAGTATTGTTTTTCTTATTAGAAAAAGTGGTATAAGTGGTCTAATTGTGGTTTCATTAAAGGCTCTGAGAGTTTTATTCCATTTAAGAAATGAGATAGATGTCTAAAAGAACATTAAGGTGCGAATCCGGGAATTTATTTGTTAACTGACTGGTTTTCGTATTGAAAGATCTTTCATGTG